GGGAGGGGAGGGGAGGGGAGGGGCACTTAAATCAAGAGTGCTATTCTTCCGTGAATAGAAGAAAAAAGGATGGAGGCAGGGAAGGAAGGGGCGGGAGGAGGCTGGGAACACAACACTGAACAGGGGAAATTAAGCATGTTAAAACTTCCAGAAATGAAAACAATCCTTAAGAGGGCCTATCCAGTGACAATAGTTGGAAAATGCATCTCCACACTCCAACTAAATTATCAATTAAATTTAATGACAGAAAAAGAAAAATTCAAAATATACTGACTCAGTAGTATCCTCTATTTCTTAGAATTATTCTTGAAAATGTGTTTGAGCAAGTAAAGGAAATAAACCTAGGAAAACAGCCACCAGTTGATGGAGTACAGCATTAGCTGGTAAATCTTAGGTTTACAGATATAGAGCCTTCCATGCTGAGTTGAACACAGATCTCCAAAGGTGCTCATGATATAAATTAAGTATAGACACGAAAGCCTAAAGTTCATATTATAGTCCAGAGAAACAGTAGTCACTAGAGGCAGAGAAGATTAGCAGAAAGGGGATAGAGACTGGAAAATGGAAACTATAGAATTAGAAAAGAATAATTCTACAGATAGCTTACAAGAGTATATTCAGCTAGATAAAACATTCTAGAAGACTGTTCTATAGTACAGTAAAGCAAGTTACAAAATTTGCATGTTTCAAAGTAACTAGAAGAATGGGAAGATTTTTAGTATTAAGAAACATGAAGCCAGGCAGTGGTGGCGCACACCTTTAATCCCAGCACTTGGGAGGCAGAGGCAGGTGGATTTCTGAGTTCAAGGCCAGCCTGGTCTACAGAGTGAGTTCCAGGACAGCCAGGGCTACACAGAGAAACCCTGTCTCAAAAAACAAAAAAACAAAAAAAACAAAAAAAAAGAAATATGAAATGTCTGAGGGAATGGGAATGCTAATTGCTCTCATTTGACCATTGTAGACATGTATCAAATTATCACACTGAACCTCATAAGACTTATAATTGCTATGAGTTAATTAAAAATAAAACCAATTGATAGTATTATAGAAACTCTAGAAAGATTTCATGATGGGGAAGAAAGATGGCCACTAACCAGCACTTTGTTCACTGAGACCTTGCCTCAAAGGAATAAGGTAGAGAGTAATAAATAAAACAGGGCATTAAACATCCTCCTGTCGCCAATGCCCATGTACATGTGCATGCATCCAAAAATATATGAACAAATACCACACACGTACAACACACACACACACAAAGAGAAAAAAGAAAAGAAAATACATGCTGAGCAAGTATTCTATCTTCTGAGTCATATCCCCAAATCTCATACAGTTTTTAACCCAAGGTTTTTATGGATCATCTTAAGTACCTAAAGCTATTTTACACGTAGGTAGTATTGTCCTGTGAGTTTTAAGTTAAAGTTGAAACTAACCCATTAAAACTCATTTTTGAGCTCTTAACTGTTTTTTTTTTAATTATTTATTTTGAGACAAGATCTCAATATGTAACCCCAATAGCATGGAACTCACTATGTAGACCAAGGTGGCCTCAAACCCAGAGATTCACCTTCCTCTGCCTCTGGAGTTCTTGGATTAAAGGTGTACAACACCATGCCCAGCTTAATTTTAAATTCCTATTTCCATTTTCAGTCTCATTGAACAGCATTTTCCAAAGTGAAATCTACATTTGTTTTATGTGTATGAAAGAGAAATTAGCACATGATTTATCACAGCTTTATGTAATAGCAAAATAGTACATGCTTTACTCAACAAACCATGTTTTCCTGCTGTGTGTCATAGTGACATAAAAATAAAACAGCCCCCAGTCTCAAGGGGTCAAAATGTATTAAGAAACAGAAATAGTAAAAAGATCATCAAGGCCAGAGATAGAGCCAATTAACTTGTTCTATGCTCCACCAAGATGATTCAAGGTAAGTTTGGAAGCTTTACTAAAAACCTCCTAGGCAAAGAGGAAGGTGGAAGATGTGATAATTCCAAATAAAAATATTCCAAATACAGTCCAAGAGCAAAAAAACAATGGAAGACAATAGTTTGGAAACTGAATTTAGTAGCTAGGAGAGACTGAAAGCTGACTCAAAGATGCTGTATTATAAAAGTTTGTAGAGACCACATTAAGGAGAATTTGACAGTTTATCCTACAGGCAGTTAGAAGATACACGTTTTAAGAAAAATCTATTTTTCAGGATACTATTGACTATGTAATAGGTTAACTGAACAAGGCAACTGACAACCTAAAATTTTACTAAAGGAATACTTCAAAAATCTAGACAAGGGCTGGAGAGATGGCTCAGAGGTTAAGAGCACTGGCTGCTCTTCCAGAGGTCCTGAGTTCAATTCCCAGCAACTACATGGTGGCTCATAACCATCTGTAATGGGATCGGATGCCCTCTTCTGGCATGCAGCCATACATGCAGATAAAGCACTCATACACATAAAATAAAGACATCTTTAAAAAAAAAAAATCTAGACAAGTTTCAAAACCATGCTCAGGTATCAGTCATTTTTATAAACCATCTACTAAAGAGAGTTTTTGCTTATTTACCGTCGTCTTTTGAAGGGTGACTTTGGCATGTCTGCTGTAGGGATCATCTGCTCTCCTGGCCTCACCCACATAATAGGCCCATCATCACTCTGAGACCTGCATTGTAGTTGGAGGCTGGAAAGTGTACCCCAGGGCAAAGTCATCTAGAAACCAAAGAAATTAAGTTACATTTAAAAGATTTTAGACTGTTTACAGATTATCTCCCATCCAAATAAAAATACTAAAAGCCATTTAATGTGTGTATATGAAGAAATAAAAGCCATATTGCAGAGTAACATATAAAAAATAACCATAGTATTCAATAACAATACTTTTCTAAACATTTCTATGCAAACTAGTGTATAAAATTTAATTTTAGTAAACAAGATTAATACTCTAACTGTATGTGTCTACTGAAATAATACTGAAAATGTCTACTGAAAAAAGGTTAATAGTCTAAAGAAACACTCACTTTCAGAAATGGTGATTCTTCTAACATATCCAGGAACTCTGGGAAATAATCACCAACTTCTTCATCTACTGCTCCAACAAGACTTATCTGCCGCATAGGACCTGCTCGGTAGGTACCACAGCAATATGTCCTGTTGACCTGAGATGCAATGAAAAAGAAGGGAAAGGTATGAAGTACACTATAAAGGAGGAGACCTGAGAACTGTTTCTAGTATTAGTATTTCATCTACATACTAAGGATTCAATGGTCAGTTCTTTGGACAAAGTTAACCAGTCACCCAAACACTGTGATGTTGCCACAAGCAGAAATATTCCAATGTGTAAGTCAGCCCACTAGTTCAAATAACTCAAAGGAAGGCATTAAGACAGATTTCTCTAAAAGTTATTTAATTTCAAAAACACTTTATTTGAAACATCAGAATAAGCAGTAAAACTGGCAGGACAAAGGGGGAAACTGCCATAGCCACAGCAATCCTTCATGACCACTCTATATTCCTTAGCTTAGCCTTCACTTTAAGACAAGTAACAAGCTATCAAACTACTCTTAAATTTATGTAATGCAAATATCACAATATTAACAGCACTCAAAATAACAGCTCAAAAAATATTATCTAACTGATGTGACAGGAGTAAAAATAAAGTACCTCTTCCTGTTTGAAAAGAGAAAGAAAGAAAACCTAAAAGGATGATAGAGGGAAGAAAGGCAGAAGGGAACACGAATATAACAAAGTTTATTTTCATTCACACAGAAAAGCTTCTTGCCTTAAAAGACCTTCACACCTTACAAGGTTAACACTTTTGTGAATACTAATACTGTCTTCAAAAACAGCCAAAAATTAATATTGTTAGATTTTTACTTAGTGGCATGACCATTGTCAAGTAATAAACATACTACAAAATTCAAGTATTAGATTTTGAGACTGTAATGTTTAGTCTATTCGGAAGACTATAACTAAGAACACCTAGAGAAAGGTCCTGAAATACCATGCCCTTCCCACTTTCATCCCTTTACTTACACTGAAGTAGGTCTCTGGTTTTCCTTTACCTGTGTTTATTTCTGAGTCTCAGCCCCCTTCTTGTTTTCAGTTTCTTCCAGATCTAGCTGAGATCACAAAGTTTACTCCTCACTGGTACTCTATTCTAATCCTTGCACCAGCTGCCTACAAGCCCCAAGCATGAAACATTCAAACCATCAGTTCTACCTCTGAACATTCCCAATCAGGAGCTAACAAATTTCTCATCCCTTAAGGCCAACTGTAATTGAGAATCCTACCAACTTGCCACTAAATGTACCCAGATATACAAACCTTTTCCAGATAAGAAAACTACTTCAGCAATATGTCTCTAGTTCCTGTGTTGATCAATTCACCTCACTTTTTATTGACTTTTCATGTCACTGCAACCCCAAAACAAATCAGTAATGTCCTCCTACAGATAACTCAAAAATGGTTTCTAGTCATCTGCTGTCTTAGCTTCCTTACAATCATCTTCCTTTAATTGCAGAGTTAGCCTATTTCTCATTCGACATATTATCTATGGGTGTTTTTAAATTATAATGCATATTTATTACACATACCCTGCTACATTCTGTATCTAATTTTCTAAATGAAAACAGTTCCTCAGAGTCAGATCTGTAAGTACAACTTCTCTCAGTCAGGCTGTAGACATTCAAATGCACTCCCTATAACACCAAGCACATTTTCTTTTTTTGGTGTTGGTTTTTTTTTTTGGAAGGGGGGATGAGGGGAAAAGTTGTTTTGTTTTTTTGGTTTTGGTTTTTGTTTTTTTTGTTTCTCTGTATAGCTCTGGCTGTCCTGGAACACAGTCTGTAGACCAGGCTGGCCTGGAACTCAGAAATCTGCCTCCCAAGTGCTGGGATTAAAGGCATGCACCACCACTGCCCGGCACACATTTTCTTCTTCTTCTTCTTTTTTTTTTTTTTTTTTTTTTTTGGTTTTTCGAGACAGGGTTTCTCTGTATATCTCTGGCTGTCCTGGAACTCACTCTGTAGACCAGAATGGGCTTGAACTCAGAAATCCGCCTGCCTCTGCCTTCCAAGTGCTGGGATTAAAGGTGTGCACCACCACTGCCTGGCTTTTTTTTTTTTTTTAATATTTATTTATTGTATGTATGAGTACACTGTAGCTATCTTCAGACATACCAGAAGAGGGCATCCAATCCCATTACAGATGGTCGTGAGCCACCATGTGGTTGCTGGGAATTGAACTCAGGACCTCTGGAAGACCAGTCAGTTCTCTTAACCGCTGAGCCATCTCTCCAGCCGCACATTTTCTTCTAAGCTTTCTTTTTACTCCCAAATTTATTTGTTTATTGTTGTGATACTTTTGTATTTGCTTCACAAGGCAATGCTAATCATTTTCTCAGTTCCCTTATTAGGAATTTATAAGCTTTTTCCTCATCCCTTAAATAACAAATTTTATCCCTCTAAGTAGTGCCTTAATACAAGAAACAATCATTTCTTACCTAATTGCAAAAAATCTCAAAATCACTTTTCCTTACATGAGGGTTCCCCATGAGCCATCTTACATAGTGCCTAAGGAGCTCCTAAGAAAAATACTTCACCATTCAAAGTCCCTTTTCTAAATGCTTCAAGTAGTTCCATTAAAAAACTCTTCATGGCTGATAAGTTCCTTCTGATACGATTTGCCACATTTTAACACACACACACTTGAGTCTTTGTTCCCTTCCAATTTTCACATGTTTTTATTCTTGACCATTATAATTTTAACTTAACCATCTAGGTAACTAAATAGGTCAATGAAAAGACAAATCTAAACATGTTTCCATGTAAAGGAATCGAATCTATAAAAATCACAGGTCTTAGGCAAGTTGGATTTAAAGTTATAACTAGATTAAAATAATAGTAACAATACTTGACTGGCATATGTGAGGTCCTGGGTTCAATCCAAGCATTTAACAACAAAAAATTAAAGACATTCCAACTTTCTTGCCCAGACATCCCTCCATCAGAGTCTAACCAGGTGAGTCTGCCCGATCCTCCCCTCAGTGCACCCTCAGCAAACCCCAATATCTAGACCTGGTCGCATATTCAATACTCCAGCCTAGTGTAGCCATCCTTATTTACGGGGGCCCCCAGCCTCCAGGTTCTGATCAGGACATACCCTACTCACACAACCCCCAGGCCCTTCACAAGATAGATTCAAACCTATCTGCCCAGCCAGATCCTGCACATCTTGCACCAGGATCATGTCAGGTAAATCCACCTGATCCTCCCCTCTATATACTTTTCCCAAACCCCAGATTTACCCCCACACCCAGACTTAGACCATGACACAACCTAGATGCCCCCCCAATCCCTTTTATGCATCTGACTTCATCCCACCTAAGCTATACCCAACCTTCAGGAACAACCTGACCTATATATCTGTGTTCCGCCCCAACCTTCTCTGTTCCTATCACAGAACAAAAGTCCACATGCTCAGATCTCACAGCAAAAATACAAACAATATGAAAGATCAAGGCAGAATTCCTTCCCTCCCATCAAAATCCACCAGTCCTGTAGAAATGTTTACCAATGAAAATTTCTTAGATGAACAGCAGGACACAGAATTTAAAAGCCTTTTTGTTTGTTTGTTTGTTTGTTTTTGGTTTTTTCCAGACAGGGTTTCTCTGTGTAGCCCTGGCTGTCCTGGAACTCACTCTGTAGACCAGGCTGGCCTTGAACTCAGAAATCCACCTGCCTCTGCCTCCCAAGTGCTGGGATTAAAGGTGTGCGCCACCACTGCCCGGCTAAAAGACCAATTTTAAACTTCAAAAATTTAAAGAATTTAAAGAAGACAAAAAGAAACAGCTCAATGAACTTAAAAAGAAAATAAATGCCTAAGTGATACCCAAGAAAACACAATATTGTGCTCAAAGAACTAGCTGAAACAATAAGCTAAAAGAATGAAATTAAAGGGAGACAAACAGAAAAGGAAAGTAATCTATCCCTGTTCGCAGATGACATGATAGCAGGCATGAGAGATCCTAAAATTTCTACCAGAAAACTTCTAGAAATAATTGATCACTTCAGCAATTCAAAATTAATTCAAAAATTAATAGCTCTTGTATACACCAAAAACAAACATACAGAGAAAAAGATCATGGCCCTACTCCCATTCACAACAGCCGCAAGGAAATGAAAATATCTAGGAGTAAACCTAACCAAGGAAGTACAGAATCTATACAATGTAAACTTTAAGCCTGTGAGGGAATGGTAGAGAAAGATACTGGAAAATGGAAAGATACTCCATGCTCAAGGGTTGGTAAAATTAATACTGTAAAAATGAACATCCTATCAAAAGGTATTTACAGATTCAATACAATCCCACCAAAATCCCCATCTCATTCTTCACAAAATTTGAAAGACTCCCAAAACTAAATGGAAGCACAAAGGACTTTGGATAGCCAAAACAATCCTAAGCAAAAGGAACAATGCTGGACGCTTACCATTCCAAGACCTCAGGATATATTACAATGCTAAAGTAATAAAAACAGCATGCTACTGGCACAGAAACAGGTATGTAGGCCAATGGAACAAAACAAATACCCAAACAAGAGTACATAGACCTACAATCATCTGATAGTCAACAACATTTCCAAAAACTTTTATTGGAGAAAATACAGCATCTTCAATAAATGGTGCTGGGAATACAAGATATCCACATGTGGAAGAATTAAGTTAGATCTGTATCTATCAACTTGCACAAAAGTAACTTCAAATGAATCAAAGACCTAAATGTGAAACCTAAAGTGCCAACACTGCTGTAAGAAAATATAGGCAGCACCCTACAGGATATAGGTAGAAGGTAGAACTATCTAAGTTGGACATGGTTTGCCCAGAAACTGAAACCAACAATTGACAAATAGGACCTCTTAACTAAAAAGCTTCTGCATAGCTAAAGAAACAATCGAATGAAGAGGAACCTTACAGAATGGGAAAGCATGTTGCCAGCTGAACTAAAAAAATAAAATAGAATAAAAATAAAAGACCCATTTAAAAAGTAGCCTTGGGTCTCTGAACTGAGTTCTTAAAAGAATAAAAATAGTCTTTTTTTTTTTTTAAATCTCAAAAAGCTTTCATTGTCCCTATCAGTTAAAAAAATGCAAATCAAAACA